CAGAATGGAGATGAGGGACGCCGCCAATGTATTGCAATGAGAGGCTATCACCCAGCAGTCGCTTCTGAGATCGTGAGACCTGAAGCTGCCGAGGCAAACCACAACGATCAGCAGGTTGATGGTACTGGTCGCGAAGAAATGAGTCCAGGATATGCACAAAAGACTATGCTTGAAAGTTTCATTGCGCTGTCGAAGCAAATCGTACATCGTGTTTGCGGCGAGGAATCCATCGAAAAGAGCGCCGACTGATCCATAGAAGAAGAACTCTGTACTGTTGTGGTTGCCCTTGGCGTAGCTGTAGAAGATCACAGCGGCATCGCATGAAAAAAGTATCACCGACAAGAGAAACCAGAGACCGCCGAGGACCTAGGTAAGCGCTTTGTATTTCTTGGCGCTCGGTGTCCAAGCTGCGATTGGGCCCGGTACTTCAGGTACGTCTGGTACTGCAGGTGCGCCCAAGGCTACTGGTACGCCTGGGTTTGCTGGCTGCATATCTCGGAGTTCGTATACAGGCGGGGGTGAGTTACTGTTGATAGACATGACAAAAAGCGATGGTGTATTCGGGCCCAAGTGGGAAGGACAAATCGGCGCAGAACAAGATAGCGAACGGATGTTGAGTTTGTCGGATAGTAAGAGGCTCTCTGTTTTCTGACGTGTGTACAACGAATGAAGTAGTGTTGCTGGACCAAAAAGTCAAAGTTGGTGTTCGTGGTGTTGAATGTGGTCAGGAAGAGAAGTGAAGTTGTGGATGTGGGAGGCGTAGGAGGCCAGTGTAAACGGTGGGTCATGTCAATGGAGGGAAGTGAGTTCTTCTAAAGATGGTGGCTCTCTGTGGCAGGAAATACCATTTGCGACTTCCTCCTTCCCGGGACTGCCCACGGGCTGATGCGGCAAGGGGTAGATTCAGTCTTGACGGAAGAGCCGACTTGTGCCTTTCTTTGGAGGAAGGTCCTCGTCCGCAAGGTTGGAAAGTGTCGTACAAAAACAGAACCGTAATTGCCGGCCAGCAATTATGCCTCATTTACAACAGAAAGAAAGGCAACTTAAGTCCCTCCCCCCCCCCCCCCAAAACCTGCCTTGCTATCATCTCCTGCCAGCGTTCCCTTCAGTCTCTCAAGCTTACGTGTGCTGCCTCATATGAAATCACAAAATACTGGTCAACTATAGCTGAAGGCTCGGCCTCACCTCAATCAGTGCGAGCAAGTGGTCCTTCGTCCACAACAACCGTCTTCAATGAGGGGAAACTTGGCATGCTTTCGTTTTCTGCAGGACCCTCAAGATACAAAACGTATTACACCTACTCCAAAGCATTGGAAGGCAAGTGGGAAAGAGATAGAATACTCAACAACGCTTTCCCTTGGGTAAAATTCGAGTTCAGAACAGATACGTATCATGACCCGAGTTGTTGGATGAACGCGACTGAGATACGCAAGCTCTCTGGGTGGGGGAATGGATAGGTGAAGTACCCCTGGAAGAGTCTGCCCCCAAAGACACTTATCCCATCCTAATATACAGCAAGTTTCTTGTTCAAGAATGTACGGAAGGCAGCAGCGGTGCCGGGTAAATCCGCTTATCTAGGAGGGCGGACGTGACTTCTTCCAAGCACAAATAGGTAGGTAGGCACTGCGCTTTCTAATACCCCGCCCTGCTGGTTAAATAAGAAAGACACAGGTGGCGTATGGTTCCAGATCGTGCTTGGTCAACGACAATCTGGATAAGATACAGGTAAAGTCAAGGTGGAGGGAATGGGGGAAGTCGACTAGGGTCGAAAGAGGCGGTACTAAGGAAGAGACATCGTTCTCGACAGGGAGGAAGAGCTAAACATGTTAAAATGTTGTATTAGGATCGCTACATATCTTCTCGAGGCCCCAAGTCGTGACGGTCGTGTTCAAACCATACGGAAAAAGAGAATGTTTCCCTGCGCCAGAAACTCCGGTTCGTAGCTTTCCATGTATCCCCCCCTATTGTTCTGTTTCACACGGTTCAATTTATCCCATGTTCCGGAAAAGCTTGTTGCTTCATTTCTTCAGCCTTGAGCGATGGTGTCGCGAACAATCTTGTTACAGTCGACGGGGTTCTCAAAGACGAACCAGTCATCGCGAGGGATGTTCTTGAAAGCTTTCTCGAAACGTTCTGGCTCGTTCTTTGCGGAGATGCCAATGGCCGCGATGTCAGTGACCTTGCGGATCAAGATGAGCTTGATCCAGCCCTTGAATTCGCGGTAGCTGTGATTGTTGATTAATGCCTGTTGAAAGCCTTGAGGAAGGGAATAGAAGTACTCACATATCACCATAAGCCTCGGGGTCGGACTGCGTGGAGTCACCAATCAGGATGAACTTCCTCTTCGGAAGCCAGTCGTGCACCTTCTTCATGCGCTCCACCTTGTACTGCTCCGTGGCCATGGTTAGCGCCGACAGCAAGCCTGCAACCGTCTTCCAGCTTGAATCGCGGAGAATAATGGACCCGGGCGGGTAGTACTTGTTGCGGAACTCCCTCAGGAACGGGTACAGGTTGTATGGGGAAGCCGAGAGGTAGAACCATGGCGACTCCTGCGGCAAGAGTGCTGAGATATTCCGGTACAGCTCTGGCATGCCCTCGATTGGTCTCGGCTCGTTGACAAAGGTCTCGCGGAGGATGCCGATGGGGTCGCTCGTCTGCGTCAATTTGATGGTGTCGTCGATGTCTGTATAGTGCCGTGTTAGCGAACCACCATGGCAAGGTCTTGGTGCTTATGTTGACGTACCTGAGATGATTGCCCATCCCTCTGGAGCAGCGAAGAACGTCTTCATCTCCAACAAGCCCGTCGCGCCACGCGGCACCGCTGCGCTGGACGTGACCGTCGAACCGGTGGGCTGCTCGTGGATCTTGAGTGTATCCGTAGTGATGCCATTCGACCCCGAGGGGCCCAGCTTAAGCTCCTTCTTCTGATGCACGACACGGAGGTGTCGCGCCGGCTGCACGTCCCACAGGAACGGCATAATCCGCTCCTCAATGGTCTTGCGCTCCTCTGCATCGTCCGAGAGCCCAAGCTTCTCGGCGACGCCCTGCACGATATCGACCACCTTGCATTTCGGCTCCTTTTCGAAAATCGCGGCAACGAACTCGGCTTGCCAGCTGCCTAAACGGGAGGGCTTGTACGCTGTGTTGTCCAGGAGCCAGACGATGTCGTCGTCGGTCACGGGTTTGCCCCAGGGGTTGTAGCTGCCGAGATGCGACAGAATGCCAGTGGCGCTCGCGAAGGCCGCCTGCAGGGTCGGCACTGTTGGGTTGGGGAGCTGTGCCTCGACCTCGTCGAAGCGACGTTCTTTGCGGGTTTGCTTCTGCATCTCGTCTGCGAATGCCGCGGGGCTCTTGCCGTCGTCTTTAGCCGCCATGGTTTCGATGTTCGGCGCTGCCTACAAGTCTTTATAGAGATGTCTCTCTGTGTGCAACCTTTGCCTCTTGACAATGAATCGACGGTCACTTGGTCGGCGAGGTAAGCAATGTGACTCGAAAAGGGTACTCCTGGTGCCTTGGCGACGAAGTGGTTGGTAGGCTGATGATTCAAGGCTGAAAGGCAGATGTGTCTCGAAGGCAGCTGTTCCTAGTTGACGGGAAACGGTGGAAGATGGTGGTGGGAGGTGCGGCACCTTAGGGAGGCGACCTAGAGCAGATGAATGGACGCAGGCAGTACGGGGTAATAGGCGTATGTCTCAGCTGGGACGAAGAATAGCTGGGAATATGAGCTTTCAGCTACAGTCTGCGCCAGCCATGAGCCGTCGGTGTCGGCGAGAGGGGGGTAGGGCGAACCGATGCATTATGTCAGAGCTAGAGGTGCTGGCTGCATCGTCTGTGTGGGAGGTGTCCGTGACATGGTTTAGGGCGAGCTGTGACAGGTCGGTCCATCAGATGGCCACTGGCAAACTGCCCAAGTTGGACGCAGCAAAGGCTTGGCTTAATATGCGCTTTCTGAACCCTTGTGACCGCCAGCCGTAAATGACCTAGGGAAGACCAGGCAATGACGATGGACCGATCTGCTTGTAGGCGAAGGTGTGTCGGAGGCGTAGGAAATGTGGAGGGATGGAGGGGTTTGGCAGTCGCAAGTCGCAGTCGCACCGTGACATTGGAAGGGGAAAGGTCGCAGGCGGGGGCGGGAGGCATCCGGGGCTCACCCGCCTTACCTAAGGTACCTTACCTCGTCAGGCTTCCCCGGCAACCCCTGCGGTTCGATGGCCATCAACAAAAAGGCATGATCCGAAAATATCCCGATTGGCACGTGTTCGCGTCACTCGCCAGGGATCCTCCAGGTCAAACAATCACGTGGCGCTAGCTTTCTCAAAACTCAAAGACACAATCAACATGATAATTGTGAAAGAACATGGCAAAAACAACGGGCTTGTTGGAAGCATCGTGCAAAAGGGCCGTACAGCAAAAGAAATGTCCCTGGCAAGGCTCGAACTTGCGACCTTTGGATATCCCTAGATGATCTAGCGTCATATGTATGTAGTATGAGACCAACGCTCTACCGACTGAGCCACAGAGACTGGTTGATTGTGGCTGAGCAGAGCAGTAGACTATCCAAGAAGGGCCATCGAAAGCCAGAGTTGAGCCTGTCGGTCGTTTTACTCCGCAAATCAATCGCTTCTGATTTAATTTCCCTTGCTAACACGAACTTCTCTCTTGACTTATTGAAAATCAGCCAAAATGCTCTTTCAGTTGTCGCCATCTTCGATGTCTCTGGTCGGGCTGGCCGGAGCAGGTATTTGTCAGGTTGTCAGACCAAAATCATGGGATACCTAGGCTACAGATAGGCTATGGCAAAGCCACGAAATCTTTTCAGGCGAATGTATCCGGTAACAATGACTCAAGCTTTGAAATACCGTATCCATATCAACCAAGTAGAAAAGTTTGTGCAAACTCGCATTTCTCGGCATCTTCTCATCCAGTTCATTTACAGAAAGCACAGCATCCGGTCGTCGATTAAGCCGCCTCAATCAGAAACCACAGTAATCACCGCAAAGATGACTTCAACCTTCAAAACATCTTTTCCCATCACTCACATAAACACCGTCTCGGCCATATTGCATATAGATGGCATCAACTTCCTCATAGATTCCTTCTTCTCTCCGGCCGGCACAGAGTGGGATATGGGCCTAACCGTGCTCCAAAACACAAAAGGCCCGGCCACACAACTCGAAGACATCCCCGTCATTGACGCCGTGCTTCTAAGTCACGAAGATCACCCGATAACTTGGACGAACTCGGTCGGCGCCTTCTTGACGGCCGCAGGGTTCTCACGACGCAAGACGGAGCCCAGACTCTCGCGCCTCGTCCTGGTGTGAAGGCTCTCAAGCTATGTGAAACTACGGTGCTTCGCCTAAGAGAATAGGACTTTAAGGTCACTGGGGTACCCTGTCAGCATCTTCCCGAAGGTGAAGTGATTGGCTTTGTGCTGAGAGCAGCCACGTTTGGAGAAACAAATGGCTTGCCCAACGTCATTTACATCCCTGGCGACACAGTCTACCTCTAGGAGATCCCCAAAGTATTGGAGAAATACCACGTCTCAGTTGCGATCCTCAACATTGGTTCAGCGGAGGTTGCGATATCAGACCCTCCTTTGCTGGTCGCCATGGATGGGAAAGAGGCTGCGCGGCTGTTTCGCGAGATTGGAGCGGATGTCCTGGTGCTAATGCATTACGAATCCTGGGAAGACTTTGCGGAGAACAGAGACCAGTTGAGAGTAATATTTGAACAGAAGGGCGTTTATGACCAAGTGCGCTGGCTAGAGCTAGGAGCCGAGACAAAAATACTCTAAATTAAATAGTAATAATGCTTCATTGCTCCCAATAAGTCTCAAATTCTATAATCTCGAGTTGATATTAGGTATCACTTTCCATGGTGAACAGTCTGTAAGTAGCTAGTGATGCTACTGACCTAGATATCTCAAATACTCGGGTATCATCATAAAGCTCTTCCACAGGGCAGGGCTGCAGTAACCCTCGTTCTCCTCTTCTTGATGTCTGAAAATGAGCGCATACCAAAGCAACGCAGCCTACTCTTTATGAGTATTGTCTACCTTACTTGGAGTCACACCCGTCTCAGCGTCGACAACGCCATGACCCATGTGTGCTGAGTGAACAAGGGAAGGATTCTCGGCCTTGAGCTTAGCAAACTCTTTTTCAGCCTCCCATGCCCAGATACTGTCGCTGGCAAAGACGAGATCCATTTCTTCCAAAGTTCGTTGATTCGATTCGGGATAAAGTGCCCAGACAACAACGAGGGATACGAAGTTGACCGCACCGAAAAGATATAGTGTCTTTTCGTTGAGCTTCTCAAAGATTGTAGGGAGAAGAAGCACCTGGAGACGGTCTCAGCAGGGGACAAAACAATAGCACGAGGGACAACTGTCGTGCACTCACCGTCCATCCGTTTCCTATCGACCATCCAACAACACCCCATGCATTGCCCTTGGCACGCACTTGGAGAGGGAAGATCTCTGCGGGATATAGCCAGGGGACCGTCAACCAAGTTGCACCGAAGACCGCGGTGTACAAGAATACGAAGAAGGTTGCGGCACCACCCAGTCCAGAACGGTTGCCAGGATTAGCGTTAAGAGTTGCTCTTGCCAAGCCTCCGGCACAAAACATGCAGATGCCTTGGGCTACAGCACCCCAGTACAGGGTCCAGCGTCGTCCGATACGGTCTATAGTAAACACGCAAATCAAGGTTGCAAACTAGATAATGTCAGCTTTTCCGACCATAACATTGAAATAGGTAAAAACTTACCATGTAGGTGATGTTATTCACACCACTGACCCAAAGACGCTGCTCGGAGCTGATGCCGGCAATCGTGAAGATCGTGGGACCGTAGATCGTGATTCCCGCAATTCCCACCCACTCTTGCAGAATTTGAAGCCAGATGACAAGTTGAACACGGCGACCGGTGTGCAGTTTCCCTGAGCCTATCCCGAAAAACATGGCAAAGTAACTCTGCTGTTTGGCGGTGTCGTGTTCCAGGTTTCTAATGCTGATGATCTCCTGCAGCTCTGCTTCTGCAGCCTTTGCATCTTCACCTTCGTTTCCGCGGAGTCTGCCCAAGATGAATCTAGCTTCCTCTTCTCGACCTACTTTCACGAGCCACCGTGGAGACTCTGGCATGAACCAAATCATGATGAACAGAGCGATGAGAGGGATTATTTGGAAGGCGATGGGGAATCTCCAGATGAAGGATGAATTGGGGTCCTTGTACTTGGACGTGCCGCTATCACTGGGTTAGGTGCCAATAATGTTGACTTGGTGTAGCAAACTCACAATTGTAGCCAATATGCAACAACAACACCAAAGATGTTGAGAGTGAATTCTATGGCAACAAATTTGCCTCTGGATGTATGAGAAGCTACTTCTGTTGCCCAGACTGGAGTGATGGCGTTCAACATGCCGGTGCCGATGCCATTCAAGACTCGTGCTGAGATCAGGAGTCAGGTCAGCGTCTCAACGTCAGATTAAAGATTGGCGACTATGCCAACGTACCACAAAACATCCAATCCGCGTTTTGGGCAGCGGTTTGAAGAGCCGCGGTGCAGATAGACCAGATGCATGCTACGGCAATAGTCTTGAGGCGGCCATATCTATCACCGAACCAGCCTCCAATTAGGCATCCCACGAGCGTTCCGGGAAGGTAGTAAACGGCAACCTAAAAAAGTGTGAGACCAGAAGGCATTCAAAGCAGTTAAATAAATACTTACGATCCCGCCCTGCAACAATGGCTTATCAACAACAACAATCTTTTGCTGCTCGTCCCAGTGACCAAACCCCATTAACTCAGCATAGTTCCGTGCAGTGTTAACGCCACCCATCAACCCTGTAGTGCCCGTTATCAAACTTGTTTCACTCAAGCGATGGTAAGGATTTCCACCTGCCTTGGTCGTAGCCGAAGAAGAACACGCTCAGAGAGGCTACGAAGCACACTGCATTGAGCAGCGAGCCCTTGTAGAGCCTATTGGCGGCACTGTACTTCGCAAGGAAACCCGTTGGACTTGGCATTTTGGGCTACTGTCTTGTGTCTTTTCTATCATGGAAAGTCGTACAAGCATGCTGCTGCAGCGTCTGGAACACAAGATCAGCAGAAAGAGTCCAAAGAGGAGGTTGAACTCCGGAGAGGTCATAGAGGTAGTACTTATGTAAGATTTAAATCTAGATTCTTAATTCCGAGGGTCCATTGCATCGTCTTTACCCCCACCCATCCCTCCTCCAAGTTTCCTCTCCCCACACCCCACGTTTTGAACCGCACGTATCCCATCGACTCTACGGGAACAACAAAACCCGGCGGGTGACATCATTCCAACATCCTACCAGCGCATTTGCACCATAACAGCCTCCAACGACGGCTCCGTACAAGTCTGGCGCCCACTCAACCGATTCCCGGCAGGCAACATACCGAACGACCGCAAAGAAAGCTCGGGGCGTTGGCCGGTTTGTCGCCGAAGCCTGCAGGAAAGCTTACATTGGGGGTGGAGACTTGCATGTTTTTGACCCAACGGCTGATCCGCCATGAGAGGGACTGAGCGCAGCGAGCGGCTGTAAACAGGATTATCATTGCTTTTTGTGGCATGATCAAGTGACGTCGAGTGAGGAGCCAACCCCGGGTTACACCAACAGGCCAAGTCGCGGCGGACAGAACGCCGCATTGCTCCCTAGCATCGCACGATGCCATCGCCGGTTTTTGCTCCCTATACCTATGCCAGGCCGATGACCCGAACTTACTGTGTAGGGTGCAACGCTACCTTGCATGCTCGTGACAGGGACCCAAGGACTGAGATCTTGAAGGATCGCTCCGCATTGCCCCCGTCTTAATGACTCAGATACTCCCGATGATCGGTCATCTATGCCGCCTTCCTCGGGCCTGCTCCGATTCTCCGACTTGTTCCTCCGGGGCCGGAAGCAGCACATGAGTACCTGAAATTGACCGCGCCTACCTTAGTTAATGCCTGCTAGCCTATGTGTTCGCAATGGAGAAACTCCATTGAGCTTCACGATGCCAAAGTGAGATTTAGGTAAGGGAAATGATACAGGCAGTGTACTTTTTGACGATTGGTGGCATCTGTGTGAATTCTCACTAAGTCATACAAGTTGTGTATGTCAATTCCCGCCAGGTAGGATGCTTTTCTCTTCAAACTTGTTGCCGCATCAAGGAGCAGTGTACAAACGCCCGTCAACATTTCCAGTACCCAATAGCTCGAGCCCCTTTCCGACATCCTCGAATACAATCTCTTTCATGAACGGTTTTATCGACCCTGATGCAATCAAGTCCAACACTTCTGTAAACTCTTGAATGCTAGGGCTCGTCGAGCCCTTGAGCGAGACATTCTGCGTGACAATCGCCGTCGTTGTAATTTGCACGCTCTGTGCCGCAAGCCCCACTAACACCACACACCCGCCAGGCCTCACCGAGGATATCGCAGTCTCAACCGTCTTCTGCGCTCCTGCAAAGTCCAAGATAACATCGAATATTTCGCCTGAGAACGTGCTCAAGTCTGTGGCACAGTCGACAGCACCGAATTCCTTGGCCTGTTCAAACTTGTTCGTGTTGATGTCGACGCCAAAGACTGTAGCACCACGGTGTGCCGCAATCGCCAGTCCGTTCAACCCCAAACCGCCTAGGCCAATGACAGCAACCGTGTGCGATGCAGATACCCGACCCTCGGCGACAACGGCGTGGTAGGCAGTAGCAACGGAATCCGTAGCCACAGCAGCCTCGGCAAACCCCACTTGATCTGGAATCTTGACAAGATTCTTGATGGGAGCGACAGCATATTCGGCGTATCCACCGTCGCAGCCGACACCTAGAGCTTCGTGGAAATTTCTTTCTTCGATTGGATGGCCTACACAGGCAACAGCTACCCTGTCACCGACTTTGAATGATGTGGTTGAAGAGTCGCCTAGCTCAGTAATGATACCAGAAACCTCATGGCCCAAAGTCACGGGCAGCGCGCACATCCACGCTGCGCCGCCGCCGTGGAGGACGTGGGTGTCGGAGTGGCAGAGCCCGGCAGCCTTGACGCGGATCAGGGCCTGTTCGGGGCCCGGAGATGGGATGGGGACATCTTGGAGGGCAAGGCCCTTGTCGGGGCCGAGGAAACGGAAGGCTTTCATGGTAGGCCGAGCTACCTTGTTGTGCGCAAGAGAGTATGGAAGCTGAATGGTCCTGTCAATTGTCTTGCTGCTTCTTCAAGCATCGCTACTGAGCTCTTTTGTAGTTCTACATCCGCGCCGCTATCAGACTCAACGGGCATATTGATACCTCAGACAAAGCAATCGTGAGATTGTCAGTGGATTCGCTGCTGTTGATATACGATGATTCATAATGAGTTCAAACCTTAAGTTGCGGGATGGCCATATAGGGTAATCACTTGTCCAGGCGTACCAGGGCACCCTTGATCAGCCCAGGCTCGGCACTTACCCACCTCAGCATGGAAGTGGGCAGCTCCGGTGATAGAAAGTGGCAACAAGGCACACCGGCAGAAGTGGTGCATCCATCTAGGCAGTACGAAGAGTATCAGCTAGGTAGATGCACGCAAAATTGCCAAAGCAAAGCAGATGTCGAAGCGACCCCTAAAGATCCAGTGATCAGTGATGCCAGACACCGAGTTATCAATTACTACTTATATTCTCAAGCTGCCTATCCTTCAATAACTTCATAGCTCACAGCATAGTATATCTGTGAGTAATACTTGTGCTGGCATCAACATCAGCATTCAGGGCGTCTCTGAACTCCCCTAGAGACAAACGTCTCTTTGACATGCAAGACTCAATGACTTCGGGGTGTTGCCTGAGCAAGCCCATGTTGACTAAATTGAACGGGCCTTCCTGATCAAGTGTCCCCACAGCGCTCGCCCAATCTTTGGAGGCATCGAATCCCTCGGGGACTCCTTGGCCAGTCGAACCGAAGGAGAACATGATGATCGTTCTGCAGCCGTCGCCACCACCGCTCTCGCGAGCTTCATAGCTCAAGGAGTAGCCTCTAGCAATCAAATGACTGGCAATAGCGGCAACTGCAGCGACGGTGCTCAGGGAGGTGGGGGGAAATGGCCACTCAACAGAGCCAATCCATTCAGCTGTCGCCGCTTTTCCGCCACCAGCTGGAGCATCCCAGTCGATAGGCTTTGCGAGCCCGGGTAGCTTGTCACTAAGACTTGCGGTTAGCGAAATCTCGTTCTTGTCAATAGGGGCTAATAAGCTCTCACATCAGAGATTGCAGCCCGTATGAAGTCTCAGCTACAGTATTCACTTCAGCCATGATGAGACTTTGCGGCCGTCGCTTTTGAGCAGCATGCCAGTCTACAATGTCAGCCTGGGTGGTGTTGTACGTCGCTGTAGGTTTCCCATCAACATCGACATGGATGCTAGCCGTAGGACCGCTGACCGAGGTACAGAATCCAAAGTCCATTTTGCAGGCTCTGGTTTCCCTCGCAATGTTCTCGAGATTCAAGTCCTCATGGATGGCTTGGTTGAAGATGCCGATGAGGAACTGCGAAGTAAGAGACGCGTAATAGCTCCCGCTGGTTCCGCTAATTCCATTTCCAAGTGATCCAGCATGGGCAATCATGGAGGACTGATCCATCATTGATGAGCCGTGAATCAGGTCTTTTGGTACGTTCAGTTTAGTAAGATTTCGGGAATAGTGACTGTATCACCGATACTAGGGTGGCTGGTTTGTTTCTTACCTCCGGGAAAATGAGCGGTCTGGAGATGTAAAACATCTAGCTTCAGACAGGAAGGAGACGAGACCTCCACTCCATCTATTGAACAGAATCCGCTTCAGTAAATGTCAAAACCCCGATAGTCTTCCAGGTGCAACAAACAGGTATGATCGGTGTCGTTCTTGATCTTGATAGTAAGTGTACGATTTCTTTGACAAGCGGAAAGCCAAACGTCCACCTTGACTCCTAGCAAATCTTGCTCATCGCCAACTGGACTGTCAAGACACGATTTAGAGAAAGTCCAGACTGCGATATGATCTCCTGGCTGATTGTAATCATTATGGAGGTCGATCACATATGCCGGGGACATGATGGAGGCTTCCATAGGTAGAGGAACTTGTCGGTATAGAGTTGTTGCAGGGTCGAACTCTTGATGGCTCATGAGTGATGTCCTGCCTGACGCAAACAGAAACCGGACGGAGCGGACCAACGGATTATATATACAAACCCTTTTCTGACTGTATCTTGAGTTAAGCTCAAGTTGGAGAGTCCCCCTGAAGAAATCTAAACCTCTCCGTCGCCGAGTGCAATTTGGCCAGTCATCCAATGATCCACCATTCGCTCAGTAAGTAGGCGTATTTAGGGTGTCGAATCCAAATTCACGGTGATGATTTTCAACCCCTGACCATACTAAGCCGGGACATGGCATGCTACCCTGCTTCCAAACCAACGGCATGCCTTTTCGACTAGTACCCTTAGGTAGGGAGCTTTAACTCATCTCTTGAGACAGTATGATTTGAACACAACCTACTGCATGTCTTGAACAATTTGCAATTTGAACGGGAAACATAGCACTGGAAATGTAGATGCTGAAAATGTGTTGGCATCATCGTCGCACATAGCACTCTAGCCACGTCAGTTGAAGACGTTGAGTCTCAAATTTCAACCTCTCAACGCGATGAGAATCCAAGTTCTGAACTTCCTACTCACGACATTCTACATCTCAGACACAAGACTGGTGAAGTCGTCATTTCTGGGACCGAGAAACCATCGAGAGTCTAGCAGTAAGCCAATGGGAATCAGGAGCACGTATAAAGGGTCTTACTGCAGAGCCTGGGGAACAGTCCATCCAGCCACATAAAGACAGAATAAAAAGGGCCGAATCTCCTCCTGGAGTCTCAGGGAGGTAGACGGTCCTGACATCTAGCGTGTCTCACTAACTTCCCGAAAAGCAGCACGACCCCGACCAAAGTAGGAGTCTGAATGGCTGTGGCGTAAGCAAGACTGTATTGAGATGGGAAGAGGACCGGAATTAGGAAAGAACGTTAAACGACGTATGCTTCTATGTTTGGACCCCACGGGGTCGAGGTGGCGCATGGGATGCCCCCGGCCCGGGACCCGAGGAGATGGCACTGGGTAATACTAGGTACCGTAGCCGTGGCGAAACGATGCAAACAACGTTCCTCGTTGTCTGATGGTGCACACGATTGTAACGAGCTAGGAACTCTTGTTTCAAGCGGTCGATCTCTCACTGAGGCTTTCTCTAAATCAGGCAGACTTGACTGCGTCGTACTTCACCTTTTTGCACTTGAATCCATACGGCATCGAGGCGAGGCCGCGATATGGTATAACATCCTTGGCGCTTTTCATAACGCGGAATGCTGTGTTTTTGCGCAGGCCTCTCTGCATATTTGGGTCTTTCGTCATTTGTCACACCCTATTTCAAATACGTTTTACGACAGGCACCTTTACTGGGCGCTTGCTGCGGTATGGATATAGCCTGATCTAACCTCGGCCCTATGGGGATTAAAGAGTGGCTTCGAGGCTGTGTCTGAAGATCCTGCATTATAAAACTGAGAGAAATGTTGAGCTTGAATAAATCAAAATGTGTTGGATTAGCTTTCAGTAGGGAGAGACAGCTTACAGCCTCGGCCCTGTTCGCCATAACATGCGAGTGCAAATTGTACTTGACACCAACGATCTGGAAGCTTTAACCAATCTACTTCAAAACCACGGAAGCGGATTCGGCAATGTCTGTGACCAATTCTCAAATAAAGGGAATATGGGGGTTAGAAACAAGTCTCAGCCAGTGCTGTTGGCTCTGGAGGATAAATGACAGCCGGGGGTGTCCAAAAGTAGGAGTTTTACTTCCATATCTTTCGGTGAAAAGTACCTTTACATGTAGATGTACTCTCTCGAACGGATTATTTTCTGTGCTGGTACCACAGTTACCGCAGGAATGCCAAGGGCGTGTATCCGAACGTTTGCGGATATTCAGAACTCCAGCCTCCATACATCCTGCGAAAGCGCTTCATGGCAGTTGAACCCAGCACCCAGCTACGTAGGGCTCTGACTTTAGGTGTCCTAGACCACGGGTTCAGCCTGAATGGCACATGCACTGAGTCATGATGTACATGTCTTGGAAAACTAGCAGTAGAACGCGGGTTTCCGCCTTCTTTGAGGTTCTCACGTTCCTCGCATCCCACTCTCATGCATGGCCGAAGCCATGGTCTCAGCCCTGTATGATCGTGCCCCCCAGCCCCATGACTCGGCCTGGGAGACTCAGAATCAAGTAGCAAAGTATCTGTACGGTCAACACTCAATTATTCTCCAGCCCTGCGGCTGAGACATTTCACAAAATGTCACCGAAGGACCGCCGAAGGTATCACGCCATGGGCTGACAGCCGTTGAAGACGTGATATACTTCTGCAAGGGTGCGATGTGAGACGGCTCTGCTCCTGAATTCCACTCTACCTTTTCACGCCAAACAACAGTCCTAATTCGGGGTAAATGCACCGAACGTCTCTTCGATCATCAGAGAGTCTGCTGAAGACCACATTGATAATCATTTTGACAAACTTGACACACCAGTAAGTAAGTAGTTAATCTTAGCGCGCCAGCATTAAGCTAGGTACCTAGCTATGCACTATTCTCACCGCGGATTTGACCCTGGAAGAACCATGTGGAGAGCTGTCGGCCAATCAAATGTTCACCTATCACTTAATTGTCAGATTCTCTGACGCAACGACGGCTGACTCTTTTCTTTACCCCGCCCTCGAAGACTTTGAACAACAATGGCGACGGAAGCAGAAGCAGTGAGAGAAATCCAAGGGCTGTGTCCCTACCGATACTCTGCGTTACCTTCAGAGAATTCTATTCGCCTTTTGCAGATCTTCCAGGATAGTTCCTCCGCACAAGGCTTCTTGGCACGACTAGAGACCTACGAGCTTGATGATGCGCCCCCATTTTGGGCGCTTTCATACACATGGGGCCCTTCGGAGTTTGATGAGGGGTCAAATGCTTCAGAGAAAACAGAGACGCAGTTTACTCATTTAGTATGCGATGGTGGGCGACTCCGAGTTGGCCAAAATCTTTTCGACTTTCTACGTCAGTTCAAGAATGACATTGCTTTCTACGCAGAATCATCAGAGCTCGGACGCCAATCCCGTAGAGCTAATCATTCGGATCGTTTGATCTACCCTGAAAATGGCTATAACCTTTGGGTCGATGCTATTTGTATAGACCAACAAGAGAGCCAAGAAAGATGCCACCAAGTCCAGCTCATGGGTCAAATCTATGAGGCTGCAAGAAGTGTGATTGTCTGGCTCGGCACGACTGAGCCCCCCTATGAAGTCTACTGGGTTGTCAGGTGTTTCATACCAAGGATATTGGAAGTGGCCCGGGCCGCAAGCAATGCTGACTTCCTACAACAAGTTGGGCCGGAGTTAGATCACCCCGAGATCATACAGTTGCTTGGCAAGGATTTCTGCGATGAGTGGCGCAAGTCATATCCAGTGTACTTCAACTTCTTCCTCAAGAAGCGATGGCTCACGCGTGGATGGGTTGTCCAGGAAGCAGCGATCCCTCATTCTGAGGATATTGTGCTTCAGTGCGGCAGGGTCCAATTCGCCTGGTCTGACATCAACAAACTGTCTGCCTTCATTCTTCGGGTGCGTTGGGATGAGAAGCTCATACACACACTAGGCGAACTCCTCCCGGATTGGAAGAAACGCCCTGGCACGATAGACCGTCTTTGGAACTCAACAAAGACCTCTCTTTCGGCATTCAGACGTGAGAAGGTTAGCAACGGGATGGCTCATTGGCAGAAACAGCGCTGGGGAGCTACCACAGACGAAGCTATGCGCCATGCTGAAGTGCTGCAAACTCTTCACCGGCTGAGGATTTACAACTTCGAAAACCCGCTGGACCATATCTATGGCGCGCTGGGAGTCATACAACGCATCCTGGGTCGCAATTATCAGGTTGAGGTGGACCCCAGTTACGATGTCTCCGTCGAAGTCGTCTATACCCAGGTGACGACTTGGTTGATCAAACGTTTGTCCAACCTCGACATTCTGGGACTAGCAGGCCTGACTGAAGGCCGCCTACCAAATCTGCCGTCGTGGGTTCCAGACTTTTCATCTCATGGGCCTGAACACTATACTTCCCTACAAAGACTGAGGCAGCTGGCACGAGGGTCCGATTTCCCGAGAACGTTCGATACCACCAGCACTGCAGATGGATCGAGCAGCCACGGGGCCCGGGGTCATGGTTCCACTACTCTCGTACTGGAGGGGATCCTAATCGATAGGGTCTCAAAGACCCAAAGTTCGGAGTTCGATAGGCAGAATATCTTCAGCAACGCAACATGGCTACGCCATCTGAGCAGTCAGCAGAGTGTTTATGAATCAACAGGAGAGAGTTTTATGGATGTCGCCGTGTCGACACTGATTGCAGACGTCAAATTACTCAAAGACTCTCAAGAGAGTCGAAGAGCGTGGGTACAGAAGTGCATAACCTACGATGATACCATGAGCATGGGAGATGAAGACATTGAAAATTCAAGAATGGTTATGCCGACAGAGACATCCACCCAACATTCTAACATGGCGATTCCCGAAGACTCTTTGTCAGAAAGCTTGATTAAAGATCCGTTATCAAAGGTGGTTCATTTAATTGCTTCGGGGAGACGGTTACTGGAGACAGAGAAGGGCTACCTTGGGCTTGGATCAGCGGCCTCTGAGGTCGATGACGAAGTTTGGCTTATTCGCGGTAGTCGTATGCCGCTATTGCTAAGGAAAAGCTCAGCCAAGACGAGCTACGACAACGATATTAGAGATACGAATGGCGAAAAGTATGTGTTAGTTGGAGAGGCATATGTCCATGGGATCATGTATGGAGAGTTGATGACGGACGACTTCATCTCACGCTGCCAGACAATTTCCGTCGTCTGAGCAAGATCAATAGTAGTCCCAGCCACCAAAATTACTCCATAAGACCAGAATGGGTGGCGAAGAGATATCAGGTTCAGGAGGATTCGACCCGGAAAGCATATAGCCCCAGACATGGTAGACGAGCCCACATAATGTTTCTTTGGGTAATCTCATGTTAAACAAGACAGCTTATACAGACTCATTTGTAGAGTTTTCCCGACGCTTCCGTCTTGTTTCGAAGTGTAATACTGTATCGCAAGAGTAGGCCATGATTTGCAATTAGTTTGGCACGCTGGCAATCATGCAAATGCTGCCACGAGATTTGTACTTGATCACTTGTCATGCCACTGAGGTCCCGCTCAACAATATGCCGGTTTACTTTACTGCGAGCATTCTCTCAACATCTTTTGCGGTGTAATCCGTGGACGGCGTTATCTGCTTGATGCCAGCTACAACGATTAGCCCATGAAGTCCCTGATTTTCGTCTCCTATTCCAGAGGCGGTGTAGTCTTGTGCCTTCGTGTCAATCACGTCCGCTTATCTATAATGAAGGGAACCTCCCCATTCTGGGATAATACGAGCTGATACCTACGCATATTTTCGTCAGACTCTCTTGCTGATCGCTTCCCGAGTCATAGCTTGCGGGACATCGTGCGAATATTAAGCAATCGTACGACGTCATTCTGATGAGAACGTAAGAGACCTAAGGTGTCTTATCCTCTACAAAGTAGTTTTTGCAGAGAAATTCCATTACACCTTTGTGTTTCCAGGCTCATCCCGTGATTCACGTGAGACCGGTCGTTCGCGAATATCCTCAAGCTCGACTTGAAGCACCTTCTGAGCATTCTTCTGAACCTTGTCCTGCACATCTTTGCCCTCGAACATGAAACTCAGCTCCTCAAGGGTGCGGCCTTGAGTCTCGGGGAAGATCATGTAAACCGTCAAGATCTCCACCAAGATCCACACACAATACACAATGTAGTATTTCCAGCCGATGGAGTCGAGGGCAATCGGGTTGACATAGGTGTTGAAGAAAACGGCAAAGCGGACGGTAAGTTGTTCCACGGCAATTCCCTTCGCTCTATATGTGATATTAGCCTCAAAAGTCTCCCTGGAGTATAGCAAAAACGATGTGAGATCCCGGCTGAAGAGGACAGCAAAGCCTTACCTTTGACTGAATGGGAAAAGTTCCACGAGATAAGTGTAACTGCGTAGGGTTAGCGGTCTGATCTTCGGGTTCATCCTATGAGATAGAAGAAAAGAAGGGGTAAGGGATGTTTACGCAAGAGCATTCCAGCCAATATTGTAGAACCTGTGACGAGATAATAAGCGGTTGTCTTTAAGGACAAGATTGTAGGGCAATCAACTCACGGCGAATAAACGAAGATGAAGACCAGAACTGGGATAGCAGCTTTTTGGGATTGCTCGATGGCGAACCTGGCCGATGCGACGGTCCAGACGGTGTAAACACACGCAGTACCGATCGTGCACGTGAGGAACATTTTTCTTCTCGCAAAACGTGGGGCTATTAATGCGATCGGTACGGCGTTGATGAAGCCTTACCGGGCTATTAGCATGAACACCGATATTCGCCCGCAACAAGACGACTTACCCCAGCACGTGTTGCCCAAAATGAACTTCTGCACAGTGTGGTTGTCCGTGATACCAACAAGGTTGAGGATTTTCTTCATGTAGAAAGAAATCAATCCGTTGCCAGACCACTGTGTGAAGAAGCCCATGATACCAGCCAACATGAAACGACGACGCATGGCGGCATCGCGGAAGACATCGGCCCAAAGGAATTTACTGGCGACCTCTTTCTCTTGCTGGATAGTGGATATAATCTGAGCATACTCGAGACGGACAAACTCTTCGCCGTTCTCCCCTTCGCTGTGGTACTTGCTGAGAATTGCGAATGCCTCGTCGCCACGGTCTTTTGATATCAGCCAGCGAGGCGATTCCGGGCAGAAAGGCATAAAGACAATTTGACATCCGCTGGGTACGAGTTGAAGTAGACTAGGAATTCTCCAAGCCCAGGTAGTGCTCATTTGGAAAGTGCCGAATGTGATGCCTGCTGCTACGATGGCCCCTGTCATCATTCTACATCAGCAACGTTCTCGGCCTGGGTTCTCGTTTGGTAGGGTTTGATTCATACCAACAAACCAGCTAGCGTTGAACAGACTTCATAGTAAACAAGTTAGCAAGTCGCATCTTTTAATAACAAGACGTGGTTTCAGCTAACCTCGTCATAATTGGGCGCTCTTTGGCATAGGAAAGTTCGCCGATGAGCGAGGAAGCGTTGATGATGGCAAAGGGGATACCAAAACCCAGAATCCATCGCGAGGCTAAGAACATATCGACGTTCCTGGATCCAGCTTGGAGCCCAGCACCCAGAACCATGATCCATGATCCCATCAGGATAGTTCGTCGACGACCAAGACGCTGACTGAAGTAAGGAACGAATGGGATGGCCATCAGAGCGCCCAGAGAGTAGATTGCGCTAAGGAGGCCAAGCCTTGAAGAATTAGGACGACCAAAGTCTGGTTTCGGATGTATCAGTATTCAGTTATCGCGGAGGGTAACATATTCCATGGCGAGGCTTTCTCACATTCGAACCAAGACGAAACAGCTTGAAGACTGTTCATCATAGAAGAATCGAAGCCTGAAGTCCACTCAACTCCGAGCCCGGTTGGGATGAGAATAAGATAGAGGAAGCGCAGGTTCGGCTTCTTGTACCAGATCGTCTTGTCATTCTGCGCAATTTGCGACAACTGAGGGTCGACATGATGTTCTTTGGCCCCGATGATGGCCATAATTGCGATTGGATGGATGGCAGGCCAATATGCGCTTGGACAACGAGATGAGCACAGCTCCAGTTGTTCTAAGCCCGGGAATCGTGACGTTCATATACTGGATGGACGTTGTGCCAGTTCCCTGGCTCTTAGGTCTCTGCGGCGGAGAGGGAAACCCACACCTGTTCAAGTCGATCGATTCCAATAAAGATGGCGAGAAATCAGACCATCGAATCATGATTCACGGTTTCTCGTTGGGGTCGGTTCATAAATTGCTGCCCACCCACAAAGAATCCAAAGTTCGTGTGCGGGGTTGCTGTCCGGGCGGGTAGGGATTCCGATCTCAAAATCCGGGGTAAGAATGACCGAGGCAGCGCCGAAAAACAAGGGTCTCCGGGACTTTGAGGTGCCTTTGCCGGAGATTTATGTTGCCGTCTACCACTTTTGTCCACAAAAACATGTCATCCATCAACGAGACGTAAGACGAGATACAGGCTGTATCCAACATGTACGTTACAAACGCACTCGGAAGACGTCTGACGAACCGCTCTGGTCCAATTTTGTTTTCTGCTAGCCAAAGTTGAGGGTGTGGTGCACCAATAATAAGCCAATCTTGGCGGACATACTCCGCTCCACGTGCTGTGAATCCATCGTGGGTGGGCAATGGCACCTCCATGTTTGCCCGGCCAGATTGCGCCTAGATATCCTGCCAATCTACTCGACCTTGATGCAACGCTTTACTCCAGTCAACACTGGCACCAACGTCTGGATTGCATTTCTTACGTGAATGAATGAGATGTGACAGGCCAGCATCGGCTTCTATTTGACACTGACCTAGAGTAGATTAATTCTCTCGGACGGGAAAGCATAGTGCATTTTCACTTTTGACAGCAAAAGAAAATCAATATTCTTAATTAGCGAATGCTGGAATGTACCACCCCTCTTCGAATAGAGTACTCTAAAGCACGTATTCGAGCTCCCAACTTCATCTCCGACAGACACGATACGCTGTGTCGTTTTCTAATTCAGGTACAGTACCATTTAAAGCTACGGACATTTATATGAGAGGCAGTCTGATTGAGGACTCAAGTTGCAAATGCCATCATGAAATCAACTATAGCATCCAGGAAAGCCTTGGCGAGGTTCTCGTCAAGACGTCCATTGTTGAAACAGACAGAAAGACTAGTCTGGCCTTTGAAACTGTCCATTCGAACAAGCCTAGATTCCAAATAGTTAGTGACAATGGTTAAGAATGAAGATATTACACGCTTGGACCAACTGTGCTCGACAGATCAAACGAAGCCAGGAATTGAATATTGGTCTCCTTACACATCAGAGGAATAAGTCGTCAGGTGGAAATTGCAACTCTCCACGGTGTAGATCTTTTCATTGCTGGAGCCGAAAACGTCTCCTGGAATGTAGTTGTCGACTATGCCATCGCTGACGAAGGCCTTAAAGTTGTAAGACGTGTTAGAAATGCACCAAGGGTTATTTCGATGAAGGCTGTCAGTGTTTGGGACTTCGTACCGGAAAGCTTGTCGGTGGGAAGGACGAAGGCGCTCTAAGCAGAAGAGCTTTAGAACCAGGGAAACATTGAAATTGAAAATGGGGGAGGGAGATTACTCACGATGCCAGAAACCCGGCTAGAAAGTTGCTCTTAACTTGGTCTATGACCAATTGGAACTCGTTCTTCAGCCAATGCTGATAGCTGTTTCTGACATGATGAGCCAGGCTTGCGAGTGTCATTCTGACTGCTTCAGGATTTCTCTCATCGACAGCGTACGATCGAAGTGGTGCAAATTCCACCGACGCGCCCGCCTGACACGACCCATAACGAATACTTGCATTGCTGCCACTTAAGTATCGCCTCCCGTTGACTGGCAAGGGCGAGGAAAGAAACAGGGCGTCCGAGATATCTCCTGGTAAGGGGCTGACTCGCAGTAATGCAAGCACCATGGCGGCATGGCCGAGGTGAGTGAAGGTGAACTGGGGTCCGAGCTGAGTCTTTATGGCCTTCGAGATGGCCTGACTTTCGTATGTATTGAAGGTTCTCCATATAGTTCGAGGTGTGCCTGTAGTATTCGTTACAGGAAGCCCCCAACTTGTCTTCGAGGAGTTAGTGACCACGGAAACCATGTTCGCTTGGGACGGGCTGTGGATGGTCAAGCCGCCAAGAATATGCAGAACTACTCACCGCACTTCTGAGCAACTCGGTGATGAAGTCATGTCGCGCCTTGTCATAATCTTCTCCCAATGCATCCACGTTGGTTTTGCATGCATCGAGGACCGGCTCGTTGAGGTTGGCAATTTCCTTGCCCCAAGGATGATGGAAAGGACTGTTTGCTAGATTCTGGTCGCCAGCGTTGAACTGTTGGCCAACACCGCGCAACAAGTCACCGACGAATATGCGCGAGCTGATACTGTCCCAGTGAATATGGTTGAATGCACAGAGCACGTCCACTCGAGCGCCATTTTCAAGTGGAGTGCCTGTCTCTGGCACTTGAGCTACGACATAGACCTTGACCGGGGGTAACGGCTCAGGTTTCTCTTGGCGCGCCTCCGAAAGTTCAGCGGCAACTTCAAGCCCAGTTTTATCCGTTGCAATTGATGAAACAAGACCGCGGCCCCAGTTCAAGGCAACTTCGTCGGAGCTCGGTGAATTATAGACAATGAAGGGAGGATCTTGGTCGGTAGCCCAGGTGACGGAACATCCGACCTCAGGGTGTTGGAATCGAATGTTGACAAGGGCGTTGGAGATTTGCAGCGCGATAGTCTCTAACGAGATTCCAGGAACATGAACTCGGAGAGACGTGTTCAGGTAGTTGTCGTACTGACCACGAGAGTTCGGCTCTCTTAAGCCGACCCAAGCCTCGGTGCCGACAGCGAGACGCCTCACAGAGCTGGGTCCGTCTGGAGAAGGATACCAGCGGAACTTAGCCAGCTCTAGACGAGGTAAGGGTGGGAGAGACATGAAGGTGTCAGCTTAATAGCTGGACTACGAGTTGTATTATGTATCTAAGAAAGAAGGGCAGTATGGCGGTGGAAGAACAGAGAATCAGAAACAGTTAGCTAGTAATGTTGCTAAGCCTTCGAGGCGAGGTAGGATGGACGTAGGCGTGGGGGACAGGTGTCAGCTTCATGTCCAAATGTAATCGGGATAAGCGAAGTTCAAGTTGTCATCTCTTGCCCGAGTCTGACAATTTGACGCTAGGTTCTTCGGGATACAGCCGAACAAAGCTTAGCGCTGACGGCGTGGACGCACAACAAGCAAGTTATCTTTGGCCCGCCTATTGTCCATGGCCGCCATTCGAACATTCAAGTACATGCAAAAGCATAATCTCTGAGCAACGGGCCTAAGCAGCTACTAGGCGTTCCATTTGGATCAGTCTAGAGCCACCTATTCTTTTGAGCCGTCACAGTACCGTGTCCGATATCGGGGTGGGAATTCCTTTCTCCCTCATATTACTTACGTTGCGTAATTAACTTTTACTCCGGCCATTCTTCTGTCCTGGTAGAGACGAAACCTCGAAGGTCATGTCCTTGCGAATGCCTCGAACAGGTGCTGTGCTTCCTTTCTCCGAGACGCTGTCTTCATCGAGACGCGTCCAGTCTCCCTGCCCTGCTTCGTCCTCCTCGTAATTTGTGCCTTTGCGTATCTTGCTCTTGGATGTCACTCCTGAACCGCCAATAGTAACAAGCCCAACTGACCCCGGGTGGAGGCCATGAGATGCATCTGTTTGACCCAAAGTTGTAGGTCGTGGCGAGCGACGGTGCATGACGAATTGTCGTAAAGCAGGGAGGGAGCCGGCGATGAATCCAATGGCAGTCTCGATATTGGACCAAAGGGGGATGTTAGCAATGTGGACTGTTAAGCGATTCAAGTCAGCAACTACTCTACTCATGGCAGACCAATGGAAGCATCATACAGGCAAGATCGTCTAGTGGATGGTTGTAGTGATCGATGTATGGAGTACGTATCATGGTTGAGACTGAGGCACTAATCATGTGACCGAAACGGTAGGAATTAGCTATCAAGATCATCTCAGACAGGTGCAATGGGCAAAATACTTACAAAGAGCCGAAAGAAAGGACGAAAGAGACCATGATCTTTGTCGAGAGCTTCATTTGTGTCTGCCAGAGAATGATAGCCGGGAGCACGGCACAGGCAAGGTCGGTAACGATGGTGCTGACGGTTGAAGTATATGACAGCGCCAACATAGAGCTTACTGGCGAGCACTCGCCACGGCCCTCTAACACGATGCTGATATCCCAATTGGCTTCCACAGGTCGGCATAACAAGAGGATGCCGACGAAGGTTGTGAAGAATGTGGCGACAGTAAGCCCCATCAAGACGTAGACGGCAGTGCGTAGCTTTGGCATTGTAGTAGCGATCCGTAGTGTGGTGATGCAAATGGAAGTTTTGATAGTACACAATACTGCCACGTAGAGCATCATCCAAATCATCAAGTATTTCATCGATTCGACCAACATGACTGGGCTGAGGTCTGCATTGCGCGTGCCCAGTCCACTCAGCGCGCCCATGCAGGCGAGTGCGACATCGACGAGGTAAACGACCTTCAGGCCTAAGTCAGCACGGGATTAATAGGGAAAGCAATGCTCTAAGGTCCTGCGCGAAGGTTTTAAGAAGATTAAGCTTACCAAACCACCGAGCATCAAGCCGTCATCCCAACTAAACGTCTTCGCCCGCAGTCGAATGAATGTCCTCAGGCACACCACAATCAAAGAGACGACGCCACCAACAATAGAGACCACAAATAGGCTGAGGCCAACGCCCTCAAGTTGGTAGACGAACCGTCGGTTAGGGTCCTCTGTTACCATGTTGACTTCAAGTAGCTCTGTCTCACAGTCTTGGCTCTTAGGTTGCGATGGGCTTCGCTGGGGACAGCAAGTCAACAAAACAAGTGACTAGTGGACGATCGTGTAGTTGCCGACAAGAAAAAGCCAAAGTTCGAGACGAACAAACTACTCCACAGAAGTGAGCAAGAGTCGATTCTGGCTAGACCTATCGTTGACAGATTGGCGGACATACAAGACGGGTTATATGGAAGTGGTCTTCAACACACGTTGCCAGCCAATGTCACCCATTTCGCGCCGATCACTGGCAGAAAAACTCCTGGATACTTTTCAATCGAGATGGTAGGCGTCGCTAAAATCCTTGAAGTATCCTTGAGCAACCCTTGGAAAAGCTCCTACTCGCAGGGAAGGGTGCCTTTCGCTTTGACAGGACCAGGGGTTCTACAGGTTGGATGATTTTGGTAATACTCAGCACCATCATCAAATCCCAAAGAGGTGACTGAAAACGGAGTTGTGAGGCAATTTTTGGTAAAATGACCAGGTAACGTATGTTTGACCCGTTTGCCGGATTTCCGGCTCCGCTGGGTGGGACAATCAAGGACATTATATACCATGCCGTGGCGCACACGTGTGCGGATGGACTTTATGGCATGATGTAGCTTTAGCAGTGAACTCTACCCAGGATGGCATGCAACATCAAAGATCATTGATGCTGATCTTACCTACGAAATTCATCCCTTTGTTGATGTTGCAATTGCTACGGTCTACGAACTCATGTATCCTCGAGTGTAGACCAGAACACCGATGGTCATGGCTTCGGCATTCGCCCCTTCTCGGTCCCACATCACCCATCATCATACAGGCCATGAAGACTCGATGCCACCTCGACCAATGCTTTCATTGGATCTCGATAGTGGAGCAAGTGGACAAATTCGTTAACAAGAAAGTCCCTGCTTATGAGGCTCGAAATGGTCTAGAGCATTTGCTGAAGATCCAGAAATGGTAAGAGAGAAGACGGTCTGACAGATTAACAGGCACCACGTTGCTGCTGTCACATTTTCTCCTATTTTCCTTAATAACCATGGTCCCCAGACCCCGTGATATGATTCGGTTGAAAATTGCTTGAAAATCGAACACGGCGTGAACTCACTTTAGCACAAACAACACGTTGTACTCTCCGTTAAACAAAATGACCAAATCACAGATTACCGTTCCCATTACTCAGGCCCCTCCATACAAAGTTCATGAGGGCAAGACGGCCGTCATTACGGGTGGTGCAAGGAGTGAGCCTTCCTCCCGTTTTCTTCTGGGATTTCTAGGAACACCTACGCTGACAAAAGTCCCAAGGTATTGGTGCCGCCATTGCTCAGAACCTCGCCTCCAAAGGCGCCAATGTCGTGCTCATTTATCTGACCGAGTCTTCTGACGAGCCTGCCAAAGCTCTCGCTGAGCAACTGGCAAAGGCACACAACGTCAAGGCCATTCCCGTCCGTGCCGACTTCAGTACACCCGATGGCTGCTCCAAGATTGTCGATGTTGTAAGGAATGACATGCCGCCCAGCACCAAGACAGGCAAGCCGCAGGTCGACATACTGGTCAACTGCGCCGCTCTCTTCCACGCCATGCCTCTCGAAGCCGTCAACGTTGAGGACTTCCACAAGGTCTACTCTATCAACGTCCTTGGACCCATCCTGCTCACGCAGGCAATCAAGCCCCTTCTGCCCACCGACCGCTCGGGCCGCATCGTTAATGTGTCAAGCGTCGGTTCCAAGGTTGGACTCGAGTACCTGACCCTGTACGGCGGCAGCAAGGGCGCCCTTGAGGCCATGACGCGCACATGGGCGCGCGAGCTTAAGGAGCACTGCACCGTCAACTCTTGCAACCCCAGCTCCACCATGACGGACATGCTCCGAGGTGCCTCTGAGGATGCGAAGCAAGCCATTTCATCGTGGTACCCTCTTACACCGCTGTGTGGAATCCGAGAATGGGACTCGGATGAACAGAAGGAAATGGCTGAGAAATACGGCGGACGTGCTGGCTACGCTGAGGAGATTGCTGGCATTGTTGGCATGATTTGCTCCCCGGAGAGCGGATGGATGACGGGATGCCTGGTCAGTGCCAACGGCGGCCAGTGGATGGCTAGTTAAATATCCAAAACTGAAGCAGAAATTTTCCTTGTCAACACTCAACGTTTAGTTCCACCAGCATATGACTTCCATTCATTGGTGTTCCGCACTCTAAAGACCCCGCGCCTGCGGCCTCGCACCGCAGAAGACTTCTTCAATCAGCCACGGCGACCACCACGTAAGAACCCCACGCTCGAAACCATCCTATGCAGGGGCGCTTCAGACCCTGCAAAAGACAACCGATGTTGTCTGTGAAGAGGAGCAAGGATCTGATAGGTTGTCGATGGGAGAGAATTGGGGTCCGTTAGCAGTCACTGGGGCTGACTCCAGGTTTAAGAGCATTTCCAACGTGGCACCGTTGGGACCATCCTTCAACAACTGAACGGCTCGAAGACACTCTCGCGAGCGAACCAATTGGCGGTCAGAAAAATAGATTATAAGAGGGGCAATTTTTGTGTGGGCGCAAGGCCACAAGTCACCCCATTGAAATGGCAAGACCCCTTAGACGTTAGCGTTCTTACAATCCGAAGAACAAACCGAGCCAGTCATGGTCTGGCCTGATACGATCAGAGGACGGCACACCACCGTTATCGGGATTGATGCTGGATTCGAGTTGGGGTCAAGCAATTTCGTCTCAATTGCCTTGCTCGAGAGAATTGGCCCGGAATTTCGTAAGTAGCTTAGCAGTACCCATGGGTGAAATGTAGGTCACGACAATCCCAAGCCGGAGGTGCCATCTCTCCTCAACTGGCGCTCAGCATAGACCAGCGTTTAGTAGTGTAAAGGACCAAAGGAACGGTCCGGTGGGGCGGCATCTTGGGCACTCATTTCGGGGATACGAAGGTATTCCCGCAACAATGTAACCCGAATCCACCCATGGACAAACTGATCGAAGAATGTTATCCAACGACTTGTCAAATTGCTTCAAGCGGTCTCCAACCTTCTAGGAACTGCGAAACGAAATTGTGTTGAGCAATGAACGTCAAACTCTTGCAAAGCCGTGAGCAATGTGGTTGTCACTGGTAGCATCAAAGGAACAATTCATGGTTTGTCCAAAAAACATAGTGTTCAGTGACAATCACCCTTGGACGAAGATCAGATGGGTACCTTACGGTGGTGTCGGCGCCCGGATTAATCTAGGTAGCACAAGTCTTAACTCCACAGCTTCTCTCAAATCTTGTCGGGTTTCATCTGGGAGACATTCATTGAGTAAAATATGTAGAGAGTCAGCTGCGACCTGTCCATGACACAACTGTTTGTTGACTGGGAAGCTTTGGCTTGATTTATCAGATCTTAATGTACTTAATTGATATACCTAGGCTACATGGTAATGACCTTAGACATTACGAGAGATTGCCGCACTGAACGCCCTCTTATGACAGACGGCGACTGGCATTGATACCTCCACAGTTAGAACATGTTCAAAACTTGGTAAAAAGATCCACTATCATGTTACTGAACTAAGAAGTTCAACGTTTGGGCAATGGAAGACAATCCTGAACCTGTTATCTGGATCTTGAGGCGCGAAGAATCAAACGGGTCATGTTGGCCCAATTAGGGCTATGACCCGCATAATTGAAGGTTAGATCATATTAGAAGAGAGGATGATTAGTGTACATAATTGAGCTCGACTACTATTGGCATATCTCAGTCAAAATACATCATTTATTTGGGAATCTGTGATGTGAACAATGATTCTCGCTTCGCAACAACTAAACACGCCGCGAATGAACGTAATAAGACCTGAAATCCAGGCTTTTGAAGATATGATATCTTGAGCTCTTCCGCTTGTTTTATGCTTGAACGCGTAGGTAATTGAAACTCGAAACATATGCTGGTAATATGTCCCCCCGACGGAGCAATCCGCCGGGGCCGTACCGTGTATTACGTATTAGGGAAAACTGGGTATAATGCGCTCTATACCTAACTACTAACTAAAATAGTTAACCGACTCGACCATTATCTCCCTTTTATTAATAGCTCCTAACCTTCTGCTACGTAATTCTAGCCGCTTATAGGGCGAGCTTTACCTACTCTAACGTACATAGGACCTCTTAGTACTAGCCCGTATAAATAGCTAGGTCTAGTATAATCTCTTTTTTTATATAAGTATTATCGTTACCCAGGGGGTCCTATAAGAGCTATTTAAAGCGCTAGCTTATTACCCTAACCCTATATATTTCTAGCTTATTTATTATAACTATTATAACTAAGCTAATATTAATATATTAAATCTTAGTATCCGTATTAGCCTAGCTATTTATAGTATTTATAATATTACTTAGCTAAATTCCGTATTATTAAAAAGTACTTTATTACTTTTTAAGTATATTTATGTTAGTTATAATAGCTATAGCGTCGAGCTAGCTAAGGGCGCCTAGCCTAAGAGGGGTAGACTTATCGACGGGTATCTTTAGAGAGTTTTAGCTTACTAATTACTAATTATATACTAAGAGGTTCTTATTAAGGTAGTAGTTTATATATTAATAGGTTTATTTAGTAGATTTATTTAATAAATTTATTTAGTTTAAATAGAGAGTAGCTTTAAGTAATATTAAAAGTAATAAGTATTATAGCTAGCTAGTTATAATAAGTATATTAGTAAAAGTTAAGGCTACGAATACTAAGTAAATAGTATTATAGTTATAAATAGTTTCTTTAAAACTATATTTATAAACCGTAAAGTAAGTAAGGCTTTAATAATTAATCGTAGTTTTATTAAAAGGGGTTCTTAGTAAAAATAACTAAAAGCGATCGTAAGATCTAATATTAAGTTAATTATTAAAAAAGCTATAAGAAGTCTATTCTTAAGCCCGGCTTAAGTTTATACTATATATAAGTCTTATTTTTAAATATATTTTTTATTTATATATTATTTTAACGGGCCCCGTATTCTAA